CTTCTCCACTAGATTGTAGAAGCTTCTTAAGAGCATGAATCCTGTCTTATTCCACAAGAGGACCTATGGTGCTTAGTGTAGTGGTTTGCAAATAATGATGACTCATTAAGTTAACAGCTGTTTATTGAGCACCTACTGTGTGCTGGACACTCAGAAGTAGAACTGTGAACAAAATCACACAAACCTTTTATTTGATGGTGACAGACAAAACACAAATTAATGAGTAAATATATAATATATAGGTTGTAGTCTATTTTCAGAAGAAAAATAAAGCAGCTTAAAGGCACAGAGGTCACGGAAGACTCAGATTTAAATTCATTGGTCTGAGAAGGTCTTACTGAGAAGAGTACCTGTGAGTGGGGACCTGAATGAAGTGAGGCAGTCAGCTGGAGATAAGAAGGGCAAGAATGTTTCAGGCTTTGAGAAAGCATTTGCAAGGGCCCTGAGGCCGAAGCGAGCTTGGTACATTCCAGAAAAGTGACAAGGCCAGTGTGGCTGGAGTTGAGTGACCCAGGTGAAGAGTGTAGGAGAGGAGGTCACTCAACGCTCATAAAAATAGTTGCAACAACAAAGATTTGTTAAGCACACGTTGAAGATGCTCAGGAGAAAAAAAATTGCCTTCATGATTTAAAGAATCCACAGAAATCTAACAAAAGGATGACAAAAGGTATTTCTGGTTTTTGGTTTAAGATATGGGGCAGTGGATGGGGAGCTGGGACAGGAGCTGTGGGCAGCTCAGAACAAGGCCAGTTGCGCAGGGTGCTGGTTTCTCTCCTATCTGTTGCCCTTCATAACTGAGGACTCTCCTTGCCCTTGCTCTGCTCCTGTGACAGTCACACCTGCAGGGCGGCTGGGGCCCTGGGCGCAGATGGGCAATTGCATGCCTAATCACCCATTCAGGCACCCACTTATTTGTTTTCCACATGCAAATATGGGTTTTTTGCAGATGGATTTAATATATTTGTTGCTTCCCCATTTTATTTAAAACAAAACAAAACGACCAACCATGTCAGTTGAGGGCAACAAATAGAAACATGAGTATTACAGTCTTTGCTGTTCGTGCCGATGACACGGCTGAGAGGGATCCTAGGCAAATCAGTCTTTTCTGCGCTCGATTTTATTTTTACTTTATATTACCCCTTCTTACTATCATTATTGGTTAAAAAAAAGGTTTTAAAGAAGGATGTGGTATTATTTTCTTTAAATCATTTTCTCAATATTTCAGGCTCCATATTTTTACCATGTGGTTTCCACTTTCACCGTTTTAGTTTCTGAACTTTTGGCCCATTGTAGAAAAGAAAAAAAAGGGCATCATGGAATCTCCAAGGCCTTGGCAGGTGGTACCTGCAACTTCTTTAGCCTGGAACTAAACAAATAAACAAACACAAATTAGAACTATGTGCCCCTATTGATACGCTATTATTATTTATTGTGCAAGATCATGCAAAAAGTCACTTCCATTTATCTGGGAGCCCGTAGGTAAACACCAGTGCCAGATGGAGGGTTTCGGTGGGTGTTTGCTTTGTTTCCAATGACATCTCAGAGCTCTAGAGGAGGATGTCAGAATTGGTAGACACCGTGGCATTTATTTTATCTCAAATGCCTCCCTTTACAGTTAGGGAACCTGAGGCCCAGAAAGGTAAAATGACTTGTTCAAGGTCTCAGAGATTAAGAGGTAGAGATTGGACTTGAGCAGCTGGAACCCTGGCAGATGGCTGCCTCTGTGGCTTGGGGTGATGAAGACATTGCTGAAACCAAAGAGGATCTCATCGCAAGGTGAGGTCTGTGTGTCAGTGGTGTCTGTGTGTCTCATTTTTCTCTCGTAAACGAATTTAAAAGTCTTTCTGGTGTCAAATCTTAAGCAGAGAAGCAATGATGAGGAATATGGGTAGGAATTGCTGGTTGCTTGTGTAACAAGGTTGTAGACTGGATTAGAGTGAGTGTTTGGGGTGAGAGTGTGTGTGTGTGTGCAGGAGACAGAGAAGGTGAAGGGGAAACGAACAAACTAAAGGGGGAGAGGGCAGACCACTTGGCAGAAGGGACTTCATAATTAGGTGCAGAATTTGAGCCAGAAGGAAGTCTAATGCTAACTGAATTTGCTTGCTTTATTTTGGAGAAAAGGAAACTGATGTTCAGAGTGTTTGAAGTCCTTTCCCCAAATCGTCCAACTTTAATTGAGTAGTTAGAATATCAAACCAGCAAAATCCTTCGATAGAAACTTATTTGGAAAAGTACAAATCATCACTATTAAATTGTATTTACTGGTCAGCCTATGTGGTTGCTCATGTGAGATGAAGCGTCTGCCTTCTTTGGGGTTCTTGGCTCAGACGTGGTTTTGTCAGAGGGAGACGTCAAGGGCTGTGAGAGCTTGCGAGCACAGGCTTTCTCTGTCCTAGCAGACACGACAGACACATAATCAGACAGGAGATGAACACTTAGGTAACTGGCTTCACCAAATGCTAGCTTACAAATGATCCTCTGAAAAAGCTAGGTTTGGAGATCAAGGCCTGTTAAGTTAACATTTTGTGGATCTGTTATATGTTTTTTTTTAAACTTTAAAAACAAAATATTTATTTATTTATTCATTTTGAGGAAGATTAGCCCTGAGCTAACTACTGCCAATCCTCCTCTTTTCACTGAGGAAGACTGGCCCTGAGCTAACATCCATGCCCGTCTTCCTCTACTTTATATGTGGGATGCCTACCACAGCATGGTGTGCCAAGCAGTGCCATGTCGGCACCCGGGATCCGAACAGGTGAACCCTGGGCTGCTGAAGCCGAATGTTCGAACTTCGTTGCTGAGCCACCGGGCTGGCCCCTGTTATATGTTCTTAAATGTTCTTTCACTTTTAAACGTAAAACATTAAGATGCTGAATTATGGGGGATGTTTGCAAAGTCCAAGGGTTATTTTTGGAGGTAGCCTGAGAACAGGAAGGTCCATGTGTATGAAATGGGCAAACTTTTGTCAGAAACATATTGGGAGAGGGTTACCATTCTGTGTAGTGGCTGCAAGAATGATAAATGGTCCCGGAGACAGCCTTGATGCTGCATGCCTCGGGGAGCAGAGAGTGGTGAGTGAGGACAGGATTATTATAGCGTGAATTCAACCTGCTGTGTCTGCTCTCTGTGCAGGGGGCCTCGCTGCCACTGTTTGCCCTAAAGTACATGCTGTCCGTTTCTCCTGCTGATACAGCATGGCTTGATATAAATGCTTCCCATGGTGTGCTGGACAATCCCAGACACCAGTGGCAGCCTCTGTGTCTGTGTCAGACACAGCATGTTAGGGGTTTGTGTCTACGTACTTGTTTGCTGTGATTTTTTTTTCTCCTCCCCTCCCATCCTCACCCACCTACCCCTTTGACCAAAAAATCATCTGAAGTATTTGAAGGTTCATTTATGTTGATTTGTTTCTATTTTGTAACTAATTCGTTTCCTGTTCATATCTGTAATTAATTCACTTTGTGCAAGACTACATTATAATATACTTGAGTTCTTTTTAGCTCTAGGATTTCTTTTCTTTTTTCTTTTACTTAAAGAAAATATTATTCTTGTCTCCTCGGACCTCCAGCTTTCTCGTCTAGGCAGGCGATCTATTTTTGAAGAATCTTTAGGGAGCTATTGACTTTGTTAGAACTACTACTGTGGAAGCAATTCAGATGACAGAATCCCACATTTAACTTGCTTTTCTAGAAACAATTTATTATTCATTTAGCTTCAAGGAAGTAGCAGTGGTGAATAGGGCATTCTGAAAATAAGAAAAACACGCCAAACGAGTTGCTGATTTCCAGCTAGGCACGTGGAAAAAAGGTTTTTATTTCAGTGACATCTCTACTCGTCGGAAAACTCTGGGCCGGTGGATTTCATGATCCCGAGATTGTGAGTGCTCTTGAGTTACAGTGAGAGATGAGGGTAAGCCTCACGGTGGAGGCTGCTGCCCTAGTGGGCTCAGGGGTGTTATGAACACATGCTATCCTTTGGCACTAAGACACAGCATTTCTTCCAGTTGGGTAATATTGAAGGACCAGCTCCATCAGATCCCCAAATGTGTCGAGCATGTAAAGAATGCAGAACTTTTAGAGAGTCAACTGAACCTGGGTTAAGTTTTAACATGGCCAATGGCCAAACTTGGTGATTCCTACTGGATTTCTTCAATACATTTCTTGCCTATATACACAGCCCTATATCTTAGCCGTTCTTGCCCAATCCTAACACTTTTTTGGAGGCGTCTCTGTTTAATTCTTCTTGCATTCAGGTCCCTGGGGTGTTATTAAAAATAACGCTCTCAATAAGAGGCTAGGAGAGCTGAGCTCAGCCGACCCCAGCTCTGCCACAACCACCTGTGGAACTATTCGCAAACATTTTCATTTATTCAACCAATATTTAAATGAGCCCTTTTTACACATGAGGTCCCAGAGATACAAAAGTATAGAAGACACGGTTCTTACCTTCGCTGCTTACAGTCAGGGGTAGACAGCTAACTACGCAAATAGATCACAACGTGACTTCTCCTTTCTGGGTCTCCCTTTTACATATGTACGAGCTGGAACTGGGCTAGATGATGGCCAGGGTCCCTTCTGATGCCAATATGCAATCATTCGTACAAAATTCGTTAAACATCCAAAAATCACTTACCTAACTGAAAATTGGCCAACATTTCCCCTTTCTCCAGGGTTTGTAGGGGGTGATGTTGAAGATGAATGAGGCAATATCTAAAAAAATGCTTTAATAAGCAAGTTGGAGAAAGATTTGATATAAGTTTGAGGTATTATTATGGGAAAAATGAAAACAAGGGCCGATGTTTTTAGAAAGAGAACAGATGGTTCCTTTGTTTAGAATTTGAGTATAAAGGAGAGAGAAAAAGAGATATTTGCCATATTGTTTAGGCCCCGATGTGAGTGACTTTAAAATGCCAAAACAATCTGGTTAGGAAAGTCCCATGGATTCAAAATAGCTCCTACACTGATCAAACTATAATTAATGTAACAAAAAAATGACAGTAAGAAGAATCCTAATAAAAAATGCCACGGTGACAATTGACACAACCTTACAAAAACTCCTATTTTGACGTCAACTCTAGAAACTTAATTTTTTCTGTCTTCAGGAGTTATACCACACAGCGGAACAAATTAGTGGGAACGGATTTAAAACTGTGTTTCTTTCTAAAGTCATCCCGCCTCCCGAGTTATTTCAGTTTTCCGTGACTCATAAAGGAAATCTTCAGGATTCACAAGAAATTGGCAGTCCTCTGCCACCTTTGCTGTTGGATACTGATAGAAAAATGGTGCGAGTCGGGGCAGGTTAAATAGAGGGCACACCTCAAAGGACGGGGGTAGTGTTGCAGAAGGCTGGATCTGGGAAGGACCTTTGAGAAGCTTGTGAGAGAAGAGTTGTGAGATGGTTTCTTTCTCTCTCTTCCTTTATCCCTTAATTTCCTATCATCTGTCTCTGCCATGCATTGTCTATTAATGTATCCCTTGGCACCATCCTTTCCTCCTGGTGTCTATCACTCTTGTGGGCTGTGTGACTGAGGTCATAGGCCACCAAGCTGGGAGCATTTAGTAAAACATGCTTGATCCTTAGTTCAGGTGCTGTCTCATCTGTGATGTGATTGGGCAGAGAGATCTCAGTCTCACCGGGTCTCAGTTTCCCCACTGTGGAGAAAGGAGGTTAACCAGAATGTTCATTCTGACTAAGCTGAGTTCAGATCCATATCTTATATAGAGCTGTAGGAATGCTGGGAATGGCTTTCATTTGGGACTGTTTATGTACGAGCATGTCTCCTTAAGACAACAATAACAAAAGGTCCACATTGCCGAGGTGGGAACTTCTCAACCACAATCTGAGCCTCTTGCTAAAATGGTTCCTCACCCCCTGCTAGCCTGGGATGGCCATGTGGCCTAGCTGGGGGTGACCAACTCTTTCACAGATCCAGAGGAGGCTGGTGGGCTTGGGCAGGAGCACCATCTGGTCGTCTGGAGTTCTGCATTCTGATCCTACTTTTGCTGCTCGCCATGTGCCACTTTCTCTAAAGTTTCTCCCAGCTCTGACCCACTGGCTGGTTTGTGAGTCATCGAAGCAATTAGAAGACTTTCTGCCCTGCCTTCAAGGCTCAGGCTTTGCTCAGAATACTCCTAGGGGTCCTCTCATGGTGTGTGGCATGTATTCGAGTCAGAAGTACAATCATTAGTTGTAGAGGTGCCCTTCCCATGTCGTCCCTGATAACCAACCCCCTCCCTTCCCAGGAGCCGCTTCTCCTAAAGCTCCTGGTGCACATACCTCTCCTTTGCCCTCAGCATACTGCGTGGTGCTTACTTGGTATTGTGCTGTCTTCTGCCCTGGACTGTGAACTCAGCTGTGTCCTGCTCATTTCTGAAGCCTCAGCATGTCCTTCGATACCTGATGTATAGTAAATTTTCAATCAATGTCAGTTGAATGAATGCCCAGTGGATGGATTCTTCTGTATTTCCTCACCAGATCGTGAGTTCCTTGAGGGCATGGACCGTGTCTAATGAGTTTCTTTCTTCCACCGAGTGTCCAGCCCAGGGCTTTGAATGCAGTATGCGAACAACTGCTGTTTGTTGAATTGCGTGAGGAGAGGGGGAGATGGATCTGGAGCAGGGAAGGCACATTTAGGTATAAATTGTTTAGCTTGATCACATTCAGTATCTTGGAAAACTGGGCTGACAGAGGTCATAGAGCATTTGTGGGTCTCTGATTGAGCCCAATGGGGTGGGGGTCAGTGCTCCTCCTGATTTCCTCCCTGTCTGTCACGCTGGGCCCCCTTGAAACTATTGGTTTCTTATCCGGGGTCTGTTGCCGGTGTTAATTTTTTTCCTCTTTTTTACGCTCATCACTCAAGGCTTGAATTAGGGTAAATTGTTTGCATAATTCTGCCTCTTTTGATTTTAATCAGGTTGTGGGCAGGGATGGTGTTTTCTCATAATTGTGTTCCCCCCGGGTTCTGGCACAGAGCTGTCCACAGAGGAAATACTCGGTAAAGGTTTGTGGACTTGAATTTCATTCCACCACCAGCTTGTGTAATAATGCTACCCGTACAATGAAGATTGCAAAGTTTACTTAATAATCAAATAACAGAGCACATTTCCTTCTCCAGCCTCTGTATTTTTTATACATCAGAATAACGTTGCTTTTGGGTGTGCCCTGATTTAAAATAATCTGATAATGGTAAATTCATTGTGCCACCCATACTGTTCTTCTTGGTCCATGGAATCTTAATTTATTAGGAAAACAAAATCATTGCCGTTTCTTGGCTGAAATTGTTGAAATATATATTCAAAGTTTTCCATTTTATTTTTTGGCTGGTACTATAAAATAGTGTGACATGATGTGAGCATTTTCTAGTGGAGAAACGACTAGAATATCCCTGGGATGTTCTATCTGCTTCTTAATTGTTTAGTCATTTGAGCAAGTTTTTTTTATCCCTTGTTATTTCTTTTTCTCTAAAATGAGGTTATTGAACAAGATGATCTCCACAACTTTCTTTTTTCATTAACATTAAATCCGTGAAACATGAGGGCTTCAGCAACAGACAGATATTTCCGGGCATCTGTTTCATTTTCTGCCCTTGAGGTGGGAATGGTGACCCATCAATCCATGCAATCAACTCAGTAACTTTAAGAAGCCTCTGGAAAGCAGACACCTGCAATTCGTTGCGTGAATTTGTTTGTGATTAGCACCCCGTGCCCCTTTTCATATCCTAAGCCCAGATTTTGGTATTTATTTATAGAGAATTCTTCCCCTCTTCTACTAAATATCTTGCTGAACGTTACTAATCCATTGAGCAACTTAATTTATTGATATCTAAGGCTTTTCTTTCATTTTACAGCCTCAGATGAGAGCTTATCGGGTCACAACCTCCTTTGCTAGAGGTGAGTGAACCATGGCCCAGAGAGGCGACCGTGGTTGTCCCAAGTCACCCAGGTGAACTAGAACGGGAACTATATTCAGTGTGTATTTAAAGGCTCAACAGGAAAGTCTCTGACCTTCAGAAGTCAGAGAGGTGAGTCAGTGTGGAGACCTGAGTGTGACTGAGCTGAAATCCCTTGAGCTTTCTGAGCCTCACTTGACCTGTCTGTGAAATGGGGCACCGACCTCTTTTCTGCATGAAGGCAGGAAGCTCTTCCTACCCTGGGATCTATGATTCTGTGAGCGAGTACAATCCACACCCAAGGTACTAGTTGCCAGGTACTTTGATAAGGAGAAAAAGGTTGAGGCTATTTTTAGAGCCTTGAACTCTATCTAGATGAGTTGAGCAATAGCAAAATAATATCTTTGAAAAGTAGAGGGAATAGTTTTATATATTATTTAAGGAAGTTGATAAAAACTGATATTCACATATGCAAAGTACTTTAAAATTTATTAATACTTTTTTCTATAGACTGGTGAAATTGGTTTGTCATTTTTGCCACTTTGTGGGAATAAAATGATGCTATCAGTGTCACTCTTAAGGACAGTCTAAAGCAGCAGATGGTTGAAGCTTTTCCTAGAGCTGAGGAGCTGCAAAAGAGCATAGAATCTTCTAGTCCAGTGGTTTGCAAACTTGGCCATCTATAAAAATCTCCAGAGGAGCTTTAAAAAAATGCTCTGTCCCTAAGTGGCTCACCTCAGTCACAATGTCTGTGGGTGGGGCCTGAGCTCCAGGCTTTTTTTCAAGCTCCTGGGAGAACCATTGATCTGATCTTTGATCTGCATCTTTGATGGTATCTTGGTTAACATCTTACTCCGTGGGCTGCCCTTCTGGGCTGGTGCCCTCCCTGACACCTAAGCGAAAACTGCTGGATGACAAGAAATGCAAACTCAACTGCTGGATGACAAGAAATGCAAACTCGACTGAAAAGACTCATAAGTTCTGTGGGGCCATGAAGCAAATGTGTAAAGGGAGAGAAGGAGTTAACATTTTTTCACATCGAGACGTGCCTTCTTTTTCTGCTTCTAAGAACGTTTAAAAATGATAGCAAGGAATATATTTCATTGCTTTAATTATTCAAGGTCTTTTTAAAGTATGTGCAATAAAATACCATTCAAGCTAACTGACCTTTATATTTTAGTGCTTTTTGGAAGGGAACAATACCTAGTATTCAGCTGCAGTATAATTTTTAATTTTATATATATATAGTCAGTCAGCAGAACCTGTTTTGCAATCAGAGGGCTGAGAGTTTTGCTGCCTTCCCAGATATTTTACCTGTTTCTGTTAAATATCAAATTCCATTTGGTTGATGGTTCTTGACCTCATAATGTCTAACCTTCATATCTTCTTTTTTTAATTCTCCAAACTTATCCAGGAAGGAAACTTCAAGGCCTGATTCACTAATGTTTCCTTCTGCTGGAAGTTCAGGTGTGTAGTGGAAGGCAGCACACGTGACCTGTTCCATGTTTTGACCAGAAGAGTGCTCTCTGTCCCACGCCACCCCCATCCATTTGGTAAATCTTAACCTCAAAGGCCACTGTGGATAGATTTTTAAAAATTGATGCTAGCTATTACCTGTTTAGATATAGCTCATCTTCCAGCTCTAAACTTGCTCTTTCTAGAAGGGATGTAGCACTCAGATGGCATATGTGGTGAACTGGAATTTCAGAGGCTTGAATTGACCTACAAATCTTGTAATTGTAGCCTTGGTTACATATCCACTGTGGCCTTGGACATCTTAGGTGTTTTCACCCCTAGGAGTTTTAGAAGAAGAAATTATAGAATCTTTTTCTATGTTAAGAAATTAAAATATACAAATTTTTTTTTTTTTTTGTATCTGTGAAATATATGTACACATAAATGTTACAGGGAATGAAGTAGCTTGGGCTTCATTTATTTATTATTTTTAAATCCTATTAGAAAATAGAGCTGATTCTTAGTTATGTTTTTCCCCTTCTCTTTCTCAATGGTTATTTTTTCTTTAATTTTTTACTGTAAATGATTTCAAATTCATTAAAATGTTTCAAGAATGAGAATAGTTGTCCAAATAATATCCATATGCTTTTATCCAGATTCAATTATTGCTAATATGTTATTCCATTTGCATTCTCCCCCCTGTGTGTATATGTACATATAATATATTAATATTATATAAGATATATATTTTTTCCTAAAGTATTTGAGAATAAGTTGGATATATCATGGCCCCTAACCCCTAAATAGAATCTGGATTTCTTAAGATTAAGGGGAGTTTTTTCATATTCACAATATAGTTATCAGCTTTAGTACACTTAACACTGATTCAATACTTAATCTACCCTCTGTACTCCTGTTTTGTCAGTTTACCCAGTTCAGTTCTTGATAGCGTCTTTCCCCTCAGTAGAGAATCCAGGCTAGGATCGAGTAGTACATTTAGTTGTCATGTCTCTTTAGTCTCTTTTAATCTGGAACATTTACAGAGTCTTTATCTTTCATGGCGTTAACATTTTTAAAGAATACAGTGCTCCTTCGGTGGCCCAGGTTCATGGGTTCAGATCCTGGGCACACACCTATAACACTCATCAGCCATGCTGCGGTGGTGACCCACATAACATATAAAGTGGAGGAAGATTGGTACAGATGTTAGCTCAGGGCTAATCTTCCTCAGCAAAATAAAATAAAATAAAATATAAATATAAATAAAATAAAATAAAATAAAGAAATATATATATAAATATATATAATATTCCTCATTGTCTTAGTCAATTGTTTCTTCATGTTTAGATTCAGTTATGCGTTCTCCGTTAGAATACTGCATCGGTGATGTTGTGTCCTCTTCAGGTATTACATCCGGAGGCTCATGTTGTTGATCTTGATCACCCGGTCAAGGTGTTGTCCAATTTCTCCACTATATAGTTACTAACTTTTCCTTTGCAAATATTAAGCAATCCAAGAGGAGATACTTTACTCCTTCTCCTCATCACCATTTTCCCCTAAATTCTTACCTACATCAATCTTTACTATGATGGTTGTGAAATGTGATTTCCCATCTGTAGCACTTCCTTCATGCTTATCATTCAGTATTCTGCATTCTACTCTAGGCCAGAGTCCCTGCCTTCTCTCTTCTCTCTTTGTGTTCATGAGATAATGACCTGACAAAGAAAAGAACTGAGAGTGGTTTCTAGCAAAGAGTTAGAGACTATTAAGGAGATTGGGAACCAGCTTTAATGGGCACCAACTACATACTAAGTACCACACTCAGTAGGCACTTTATAAATATTACACTGCTTTGTGAGCACAAAGGAATCTGTGAGGTAGGCACTATTCCTCCCATTTTTTTTCACTTATGGAAATCAGTTTAAAAAATGATTAAATGACTGGTAAGATTATGCAACTAATACGTAATAGTCTTCCTACTCCAAATTCCAATTTACCATGTTGCCTTCACCCAATTAAAACTATTCCCTACTATGGATGTTCAATAAAAATTAAATAATTAATAAGAAACATGTCCCCATCTTTGTTGTGGTTGTTATCACTTATTTACCTGTTAGAATAAAAAGATGTTCTCGTTTCCTCTTGTATCTTCTCTGCCGGAGCCCTGAAATCAACATTTCTTTGATATGTCCTGGTTCTTTTTAGTGGGAAATGGTATTAGGGATCAATATTTGAGTGCTAAACGTGCTTGTTGCTTCTCTGGTGCCTTTGCTCATAGCCTTTCAATGTCCAGAGCCAGGAAATTTTACACATGAAAGTATATGGCATGCATATATATGTAACACACCTGCATATATGCATACCTGTGACTATATGGATGTGTCTACATGTATGAGTACACAAGTAATAATCATGATTTTTTTGCCCATGCTGCTACACAAAACAAACCTGCTATAAAGAGTTTGGGATTTGCTTGTAATGCCCCTCCTCTAACTTTAACTCTGTCCAAGACTGACAGCATATTGTCAAGTGCTGTGCTCAGGAATTACCTGGATGGTTCTTTTTTTCTTTATGAACCTTCCCCCAACCCCCCAGTGTCATTCCGTTGTTCATTTTAAATATATCTGGATTCCATTGTTTCAGTTTGCTTTTAGTTTTCCTCCTTCCTACCCTTACCTTGTTGATTTAATTTTTTTTGAATATGTAAAATATTACCATATGCTTCCAGATGTCAACTCTATACAAAAAGCTATGCTCAGAGAAGTGCCCCTCCCCCCAATATTCCTTCCACCCCATGACTCCCTGCATCTCTTGTAGGTAACTAACCTCATTGTTTTCTTGGTTATCCTTCTTGAGTTTCTTTGTTTTGTTTTTTGGTGAGGAAGATTGTTCCTAAGCTAAGATCCGCGCCAATCTTCCTCTATTTTGTATATGGGATGCCACCACAGCATGGCTTGGTAAGCAGTGTGTAGATCCGCACCTGGGATCCAAGCTCGCGAACCCTGGGCAGCTGAAGTAGAGCATGTGAACTTGACCACTACACCACTGGGCCACCCCTCTGTGTTTCTTTTTAAACCTGATATATGTATGTTTTCCTAGTTCGTCTTCTTTCTTACACAAAAGGTAACGTGTTATATATATATATTTGCACTCTCCTTTTTAAAAAAATTTTTTCTTCTTTCTTTTTATGTCTTCCCTCTTCCCTTCCTTCCCTCCTTCCTTCCTTCCCTTCCTTCCTTTTCTCTGTCTATCTGTCTGTCTCTTATTTAACCAACTGATTTCCTATACTTGGACAGTTGACTAGTTTTCTGCAGTGAATACTGTTCTGCATATTTATTTTCATATCATTGGAGGTATATCTGCAGGCTGTATTCCTAAAAGTGGGAATGCTGGGTCAAGGCTCAGTGTCTTGTAAGGTAGTGCCAAATTCCTCTCTATGGGGCTGTCCTGTCCGCATTCTCAAACGCAGAGAGTTATTATCAAACTTTTGAATTTTTGCCAATCTGATGGTGAGAAATGATATCTCAGTTTAGTTTTAATTTGTATATCGTGTTGTGAATGAAGCTGAACATTTTTTTATGTGTTTAAAGACTATATTTGTTAATTTTATAAATTTCATTTTTGTGAATTGTCTTTTCCTGTGTTTTGCCCATTTTTTCTGTTGGATTTTTGGTCTTTTTTTCCTCAAAAAAGTCTTTGGATGTTAGCCCTTCATCTATGAAATATATTACAGATTTTTTCCAATTCATTGTCTTTTGACTTTGTTTACAGTGTTTTTTCTTTTTATTATCGTGGAAAATGTTTTATGTTTATATAGACAGATTTTATGATCTTTTATTGCTTCTGGACTTTGATCTTAGTTAGAAAGCATTTTATAACACCCGTCTTCACTCACGTTATCTTCCAGTATCTGTGTAGTTTCATTTTTCACATTTAGATCTCTGATTCATTTGCAGTCTATTCTTGTGTATGATGTGATGAATGGATCTAATTTTATCTTTTTTCCAAATGGCTATCTAGTGTCCCAGTACCATTTAGTAGGAGAACTCTTTGCTTCTGTAATTTGAGGTTGGTGGTTACTTTTTAACTTACACCGTGACTAGATGTGAAGGAGGATGAATGATGGTGAACAGCAGAGCAGGCTGATCAGAGGAAAATGAGGTTCTGGCTAGATAATGACTGAGACCAAGTTTGAACCTAAATCTCCTGACTGTCAGCCCAGAACTCTGTCTCTTTGCAAGTCAACCTCTCTGATCCATTTCTCCTGTCCATAAATTGATGAACATATTTAACAGGAAAAGTGTTTAAAAGAAAAGAGAGATTTAGGCATTATCTGGCCTTTCCCTCTTAATGTCTGTAACCCTTCCTCCTCCCTGAAATAGATCATGAGAACTTGGCTGTATACATTTTTGTGAGCACCTGTGACTCTGTGTCTGCTGTCTCTAGCACCTGGGCACATGTTGATTACACACTGTGCTCTCTTCTGCCAACTGCTGGGGTTTCAGTGATGTCATAGCTACACTGGGTGAGAATTAGACTTTGGAGGTTTTGGGGTTAGGGGGTGCCTAGCTTTCCAGGTCCTTAATTCTCTGGCAAGTTGGGAAGAATTCCAAATAAATAAGTTTTCATACCTTCAAAACTTAAAAATGTATTAGTTTTTATAGAAAGCATCATAAACGTTCCCGTCTCTTTTAAAGGAACTCATTTGATGATAATTTAATATTGATGGCACAACCGTTACTGTGTATTTTGCAAGCTAAGTTTTGCTAAATGTTAGTCTTCTCTGAGCTGTTGATAGATATCCCATGAAAAGGGGGATTTTTGTGGTCAAACATGTTTAGGAAATGCCAGCTTAAGCAAATTTAGCCATGTTTCTTTGCTGTAGGACTTTTCTGAGCTCTTAGTATGAATTTTTCAAATTTATTTGATCAGGAACAAAAATCTGCTCCCCACTCCTACATCCATTGATAGCTTCGGTACTCTGATCTGCAAGGTCCACTTTATTAGTGTTGCAACATTATATCATATAGTATCAGGATTCTGCATTTACATTTTGGTTTTATAGCTTCCTCCTAAATTCTTCTAAAGTTAAGCTCTGTGAAGGCAGGAACTGTGCCTGTTTTATTCATTACCGTGATACGAACACCTCCCCCAGTACCTGGCATTTGGTAGGTTCTCCTGAAGTGTTTCTGAGCTTGAAGTTGCCAGCTCTCACTTAGCTTGTTGCAGTGTTCCTGGTTTGGTTCCCCTTCCAAATGTATGTTTTTAACAGCAGTTTCTTCCTTTTCAGTCTAAAAAATTAGATAAACATATTTGCAGAGAATTATGTGTATAACTTCCTGGCTTGTCTAGAGGTGTAAAGCTTAATCATGAATGATTATTAAATAAATGATTGAATCGTTGCTGCTTGTCACCCAGGAATAGGCACATAGAATTGACCGTGGGGGGAAGCAGCTAGTTCAGAAGCTCATGCCTGCAGTTGGGAGCTCTGCCTTACTGCTTTCAGTTTAGGGGTCACACTGGAAATCACTGTTGGTTTTCTCCATCCCGTGCATCTTCTATGTTTGAATAGCTTTTCTGATCAGGAGACACTCTGTTGTGCTCCAGTTTCAGCCTCTCTGAGAGATCACTGACTATCTCCTGGAGCTTGTCCAGTCTTCCCTGCACCCACTCTCATCCCAACGGGAACCCACATTTTAGGTTAGTCTTAGCCATGCATGTGTGCTCAGGCATGCACATGCGCGTGCGCACACATACACACACGGATCTTCTGAGTAGGGACTGGGTGTCAGATGTCTAGGTTTAATACAGGAGCTCGTTGGGAGCTCAGAATTCTGAGTCTATTAGTTTCTTTTTCTTTTATTCCCAGTTCCTGTCTCTAGAATGCTACTATATTTTATTTCCAACATTTTATTGGTGCTCTTTTTGAATATACAAGTAATTAATTTTTGTTGTAGAAAATTTGGAAAACATAAAGTATAAGAAAAAAAGATCTAGATTGCCTGTGATCCTATTACTCCAAAATACATTCTAGTGAATAATGTTCTATCGTGTGTGTGTGTGTGTGTGTGTGTGTGTATACATTGCAGACTGCTGTTCTGGGACTTGCTTTTTAAACTAGTCCTTTATTGTTAAATAGGTTCTTTACTTTTAACATTAACATTAATATTTATAATATTTACCTATTGCAACATTCAACAGTTAACCTTTACTTAGTGCCTGCAAGGAACATCATTGTGCTGCCTGAGTCAATGATTGTATCTTAATTCACCTTTGTACTTCCAGGGTCTTTCTCAGGGCCATCTGTGCACATGGTTTTTGCTCAAGAAATGCCTGATGAATTTAAGTTACTAGACATTAAATTAGATCTGCGCGTTTGTTCTCATGAAGTTCAATTCTACAAATGATATATTCCAAAACTATGAAAGAAGGTGAGAGCCAAAACAAATGGAGCTGCCCTTGTAAGGGCAGGAAGAGTTCAGTAAGATTCTACAAGTCACTCGGTATCGCCCTTGGGGATTTAGAAGTGTCTGCCAGTTACAACATAGGGCCTCACTTGATTGTGTGCATCTTGTCCTCATCATTTTAGACCTGGAACTCCCCACCCCCTTTTTTAAAATAGCAAGTCAGGCTTTCAGTGGTGGGATGGGGAGGAAATTGGCTTGCCTTAGTCAGATGCATAAGGCAGCCCAGGATCAACTCAATGCCACTTTCCTATATGCCTTGGAGCAAGAGCTTTGCATTAATTGGCTTGCCGGTGTCTGTGCTCTGCTTTGGATGCTGTGGAAATGGAACTCCTTGTCAGAGGCATTGCCTGGTGAAGGAAGAATCAGAGCAAAGGGTCTGAAGGATCTAAAGGAGAATATTCCCTGTTCCACAGGCATCTTCCTCTTTGGGGCACCAACAACCTCATGTCCACCAGACGCAGTGGATAGAATTCCTTCAACGCTTCTCAGGTGAAAGATGTGGCATGTGTAGCTGAATAATCAAAAATCACCCAGGGCAGCTGTTACAGAAGGATTGTCACCTTCCTGCAGTGTCATCTCCTAACAAGACTTCTAATAGAAACTGATACCTAAATATTTAGACCCTGTGAGGCCTTGTCTTTCTCAGCCATACTCACCAGTCACATCACAGTGTCACTCTTCTCTGAGCAGTGCTGGATAAACACAGATAAATTCTCATGTCCTGACTTACTCCTGCCTCATGCCAGGGAAGTTATCAAATGTTGGAGTGGCTTACTTAAGTATTATTCCTGTCATGGATTCTTGGGAAAGTATCCTCTGCGTTGATGGAGGTATGGAAAGCATCGTGGTTGCTTCAGAAACAAGGTTCTGAATGATTTTGTAGGGCAAGGTACTTCTCTAGTTGGCTGAGCTCATCTACTGTGTGTGGATTCTCACTGTGGAAGAAGCAAAGAGGATGGGGAATGCCGTGTCCACGGCCGATGACTGTGCTGGGTGATTTTGCTGGATGCCTCATACAGTCTTTCCCACACCCACTCAAAACATAGATGCTACTCCATTTTATAGAGGAGGAAGCTGAGGCTCAAAGAACTTATGTTACTCTCCCAAGTCACCGAGGTAGTCGTCATAGAACTGAGTCTCAAAACTAGCTCTGAAAAACCGTGAAATTGTGGCCTTTCCTGTACACCCTGCCACCTGACATGTGATTCCAGAGCATCACTCTTTCTCTCATCTTGTTCTTGGATTCTGGGCATGCAGCCTCCATTTGGGGCTTGAATGTCCTATTTTGTGAAGCCTTTCCTGAACCTTGTCTCCCATAACACATGCTTCCTATATAGACCTCTAGGAACACTGTAATGGTTAATTGTGTACTTATTTGTCTCCACTGCTGGACTGTGAGTTCTTCTAGAGGTCTTACTTAGCATAATGTCTGATTCGTGGCAGGCTTTTGATGTATATGTATTGAACATGCCAGTTTTTGTCCCACGTTGTGTTTCCATGCTAAGACACTGAAAAACTAGATGTGCCGTCTTGGAATTAGGCGACTCAATTTCCTTTAAGGACGCACTGACTTTCTGTTTTGCTTTAATATTTGCCCGAAAGCTGCTCTTCGGCTTAGATCTCTGCTTCAGGCTTTGGAAGGGTAGGGTAGCCACACGCCTGCTTCATTAATATTTTGGGCATCTCTGAGTTTGTGCAGGATAATGATTGATTCCATGATCAATGATGCTAACATCACACAGGTTAGTGTCATATCAGCATAAAGACGTTAGTAACATGAACAAACATGTATTTCAGATTTGTTGTTTATATCCAGATATTAGCTGCAAAGTAATATAAAGTAATAAAAACTAAGTTAACGTCCAGATATTTATTTTCAAAAATAAGTGAACCTTTTGCATGTAAGTTGGAGAGAAAAGTCTTCTCAAAATGCTTTATATCTTGATATTCTACAAACCAACTGAAATATAAAGTTATATATTATAAGAGTAAAATGCTAAAATATTTGATGATGATTGTGAAAGCTATCACTTTTATGGGTAAAACAATTATTAAGAATGTTTGAATAGCTCAACAATTAGGAAATAAATTGATAGTTAATACCAATATTAGATTAGTTAAATCTTAGTTAACAGAGCACATGAGGTAACTTTGAGAAGAACATCATATTCATTCTTAGCTAACAAATGTTTATAAAAATGTGAATTGTAACAGAGATATTATTGTGAGATTAGATTATATCATAATTCTAATTATTATAGGATTGCTTGGTGAATGCATTTATAACATTAAACAGTATGACCATTAAGAACTGTTTTAAGTTTTAGTTATTTAATTTTATTTAAGACCATGAATCTTTCCAGAAAAGACTTATTTAAGAATTTTTCATATTTTGTAAAGATAATTAAAAGTAAGATGCCAACTTTGTCCCCTTAACATTTCCTAATCAGAAAAATATCCAAAGGCATGTACAGCAACATCAATGATAAATTATCTTCAACACAAGAGAAATTTCATATTTATTTTTGTATCCAGGAAGTTCAGGTGATGATGGTAAGTGATTTCAGTCTCAGCTTTGGCTTGATATTGATTTCAACACTCTGCTATTTGGCATTTGGTCAAAATGGGTAATGGGTGCAAATCTTCTATCAGTGGATCTCTATGGTTTTGTACCTGGAGGCAACATGTGGGTGTCTCCAGTTCAGACTAGAACAAATCCCTCACATTTATCTACTTTTAATTTGTTTTCAAATTGTTTCCATGGTCACCATCCACTAATTCTCCAGTAATCCTTAAAGGAAGTCTAGGAGTATTATCTCGCTAGAGAGAGGGAACCTGTGGCTTAGAGAAGTGAAGGGCATTAGTTGTCCGAGGGTACCAGGCAGTGCTGGAGCCTGAGCGTCTGACCCCATCTCCATCCCAGGGCTCGGAATCCACAGACTTGGCTTTTAGTTCTGGCCCTAGAGCTGTCTGTTCCTGGCACACATATAGAGTAAGGCATTTCATTTCCATACTGCCTGTCTTATGAGAAGAAGTGTTGGTAAACTCATTAATGAGGGTTGTGTTTATAGTTTCCTTGAACTGCTAGTGTCTTCTTGGTGTAATTAAAACTGACCACCTTCTTGAGGATGGCCGTGCTTCCCATGCATCGTGTGGCCCCATTAAGCCTGGGCTTCTTCTCTTACCTGCACAGTGGAGGAGATGGTCATGTCACCTGCAGAGACCTTTCGTCTTTGTCATTCTCTTGTGTGATAAGGGCTGAATAGAGGAAAGGCAAGACCTGATGACTTGAAGTCTAAGTCAGTTTGTGTTTGCTGAGAGGCACGACTGAGGGCAAGGAATTGATATCTAGATTTAAACAGGCTGGTTTTTAGTCGACATTGCACGGGTAAATAATACTTCTTCCTGGTTTCTGAGATATGAAATTGGTTGTCTACCGCATGTATTTCTCATTTTTGTCTTAAGTTCACGCTTTGGTCATGGAGTGCCATTTTGGAGACAATTTCAGTTTGGTTTATTTGCTTAATAATAATAATAACAACAATGTATTCCTGTCATTTTTTGAGCACCTGGTATGTGCCAGACTGTGTACACACATCATTCCTAATCTGAAAAGAAAAACAACATGCAAAGAGTATATTCTAATTCCCACTTTGCAAATAAGGAAACTTGGGCTCAGAGAGATGAAAGGACTTGCTTAAGTTTACTTGGAAGGTGGCAGAACTAACTGCAAAACCTGTGTCCTACTTACACCCCCTCACTGCCATGGCATTGAGGCTAGAAATTGAGATCCCCATCTTCTCCTTCCTCCTGTCCTATCACAGTGATGAGCAGGACTTGGAATGGGCCATGGCTGGCTCCTACTGCCTCGGTGTCCTTGACTTGTGTTCTGATGCCAGGACACACTTTCATTGATTACGTGATGCTGATGACCCTTCCTGGTATCTGTTGACAGGCCCAGGGCAACCTGACACCCCTCCTACAAAGAGCTTACCCTGGACTCCCCAGCCAGAGGGAAAGAGGCCTTGAAAAGGAATAGGTCCGTGATTAACGATTACTGTGATGTGTGAGCTGAACAGTCTGTCCGTTCTTCTCATTTGACATCTTGCTTTCTTTTGAGCATTTTATCTAAACTTCCAAGAGTGACTCGCAGCCCTGTCTACACATTAAAATCACCTCAGGAGCTTTTTAATAATTATGCCTGGGTCCCCCCTCAGAACATTCTGATTCCAATGGGCTGGAGTAGAGTCCTGGGTATCGCATTTTTTAAAAACAAGTACTCCAGGAGATTCTATTGTCTGGTCAGGGAGGAGAACCAATGCTTTAGGGGCAGAAAGCCCTCCTTTTACTCTTTTGTTAGTGTGGCATAGTTTTTTTTTTTCTGACCCCAGTGAACTCTTAATTTTAAGATATTATCATTCCACTGAGAGGTAGAATTTACTCACCAAGAGCATTCATGCTTTTTTGAGGTGGCGTCGGCTGTGGAGAGGGTGTTACAAGAATGGACACAGGTGCTGAATTTAGTGGCCCAAGAGGAGGGGAAAGTGCCACTTTGTATTAGATCACTGGAAACAAGGAAAAGACAGAGCTGTGACTTTGGCCATCCTCCCTCTTAATTCATTCTCCTCATCCTCACCAGATTTTCCACATTGAAGGGGCGTGTTCTTTAGTTTCTGGGGCATTCACAATAATTTCCAATGATTTTACTCCAAAACATATTATGGCTTATTTGCAATAGCTTGGATATTTGTTGTAGTCTCTTTACTTTCTGTTTACTAATTTAATTTACTACTACGTATAAAAGAGTGGCTTCAATTGAAATAAACACTATGGCGCACAGTGTGCATACAGAGACACTATGCTCTGGTGGAAGTACACCCACACTCTCCAGCCTGGCATTCAGCATTCTCTCCGCCCTCTCATGCCAGTCTTTCTCTCCAGAATTAAGGCCACTCTTTACTGTCCCTGGGCTCCAGCAAGCTGAACTGTACCCTGGACCAGGGTTTGTCCCATCCCTCCCTGTGTTCCCGTCTCATCCTGCTGAAACATTACCTCTGTCCTGGAGCCGTCTCTCATCCCGGCAGCTAGAAATAACCTTTCTTTTCCTAGAACCTCCACACTGCTCAGAGCGCGAGCACTTTTAGAACTTATCACTTTGTACCTCGAGCTATTCTTGTTTATGCGTGTGTATAATTCCTCTCCTTCTGTACGCTTCTGGAGGATGGGGCAGCCTCTTAATTTTGGTGTCTCCTGCTGTGCCAAGAATATTAGAGGCATTCCCTAAATGTTTTTTGAATAAATGTGTTCCTTTTAGTTCAACTCAGCGGTTGTCCAAAATTAACCTCGTGAGAGATGGGTGGCTTCGGTGAACATTTGGAGAGGTCTACCGTGATGGATGAAATCCGGTGACCTAGTTACAGGATATCCCTGCAGGCTCACTGTGAGGAAGGCTCAGGTTTAAACTCTGAAAGGAGAGCCTGGCTTATTTAGGTTGGCGGTTGTTTACATGTCTTTTAAAATGACCCACCCTTTTTTTTTTTTTCAAAGTATAAAAAAATGCATCGTCATGTAGGCAGTTCAGAAAATGTAGATGAGGGCTAAAGAAGAAAATAAAAATCGTCTTTAAATATTAATAAAACATTAATAAAACCTGTCCTATTTTAACAGTATCTGATAATGTACGGTTTCTTGTGCTTGGAGAAGGGAATTTGCTTCTTTATATTTTTTTTTTTTTAAAGATTGGCACCTGAGCTAACAACTGTTGCCAATCTTCTTTTTTTTTTCTGCTTTCTCTCCCCAAGTCCCCCCAGTACATAGTTGTATATTTTTTAGTTGTGGGTCCTTCTAGTTGTGGCACGTGGGATGCCACCTCAGCGTGGCCTCACGAGCAGTGCCATGTGCGTGTCCAGGATCTGAACCAGTGAAACCCTGGGCCTCCGAAGCAGAGCGCCGCGAACTTAACCACTCGGCCATGGGGCCGGCCCCATCTTTGTATTTTTAATAACTGGTAGCAAGTCCAGTGTGTCCAGTGGGTGCGCTCTTATTATTATTATTGATTTTTATTATTGTGGGTGGGCTGTTTTTATTATTATCGTCATCATCATCATCATTGTCATCACTGAAACTAAACCAAAGTAGATATTGTCACCATTGCTACAGCCCCAGGAAGGACTTCACGGGCTGTGCTATGGTTAAGCACCTTATATTTACAAAATGCTTATAGTCTTTTGTTAGCAACTGTGCCTGAACAACAGCTGTGTGAGGGAAGCCACATCGCAGATGAAATCGGTGGAGCCACTGTTGAAATGGGCATTGTTTCTGGAGGAGGGTGGTAGTGTGCTGGGCTGGGGCCCTGGAGGGATCCAAGTGAGGCCTGACTGAGGGCACTGAGGGGCCCAGGAGGGAAATGGCTCCTGGGAGAGGCCCCCAGGCTCTTGCTTCTCTCTGGAAGGTGCCGCCAGCCTGCTGCAGTTGCTTCCACCTTAGCATCCACTGTCCTCACAGTACTTTTCACCACAGACCAATGGATTTCAGCTAATTAGGAAAAAAGAGGTGATTTTAAAGAATAAGGGACCCCCTCCCACAGTGTATCATTTATATACGAGATCTGGCTGGGGTGGGCAGTAAGATTTGTGTTGAGAAAATATGTCTGGGCAAATGCGTAGGGCTGGTGGGTATGTTTTTATTTTTAAGTTTTCTTCTTTTTGGTGTAGCCTTGTTCCCTTTTATTTTAAAATAGTTTTATTATTAAAAAAATATTTTCCAAGCACTCAAGAGAATTTGAAGAATGCAGAAAAGCACAAAGAAGAGAGTAAAAATTTCGCCAAATCCATTCTTCAGTGAAAATCATTGTTAAAGTTTTAGAGAACACCTTTTCTTTTTTTTTTTGAGGAACATTAGCCCTGAGCTAACACCTGCTGCGAATCCTCCTGTTTTTGCTGAGGCAGTTTGGCCCTGAGCTAATATCCCTGCCCATCTTCATCTACTTTATATGTCGCCTGCCACAGCATGGCCTGACAAGCAGTGTGTAGGTCCATGCCCAGGATCTGAACTGGTGAACCCTAGGCCACTGAAGCAGAGCGTGAGAACTTGACTGCTAACCCACTGGCCCGGACCCTGGAAAAGACCTTTTAAAGCCTCTCCCTCACTCTGTCTGTCTGTCTGTCTGTCTCTATAGATAAATACGTATTATATATATGTGTGTGTCTGTGTGTGTAGTTACATACACACATGCACACACATGACATTTACAGGAATGACTGCATTTACAATTACATGTATTACTGCAGGCTTTTCTATGATGTACCTTTTCACTCAACAACATGGCTTGAAAAAACTTTTATATCAATAAATATGTATCTCTCAGACTCATATAGTGTAATCTTTTTTAAGGACTGGTGGTGATCTTTTAAATCATTTATTTATATTTTTTTTCTTAAGGACTGGTGGTAATATTTTAAATCATGTATGTATATGGCTTCATGAATAAAAAACCTTTTCTTCAGATATAGTTGGATATTATCTGCGTCTACAACTGTAGTAGTTCTTAGCAAGGTTGTTTGTTAATTTAGGAAGTATTGACTAAGCGTGGAGAATGGGGCAGCACTGAGCGAGGCGCAGGGATTAACAGGAGCATAAGATGTGCTTGTGTCCTCGCGGACTCAGCCTGGGGGGAGGCGGGCACACCAAGAAGCCTCATGTGCTGCGGGCCATGCATGGGAGCACAGCGGTGGTGATGACGGTCTCCATTCTGTTCTTCCTTTATGAAAATGAGGAGACTGCTTCTCACACTGCTAGGGAGCTACTTGTCTCTCCTGATGTTTCCTGTCAAGCACAATTCTGGGTATTATGAAAATTAATTAATAATAAGATTAATATTAAAAAGTATTTCTTTTTTTAACAGTCAAGGTAATATGTGCTCATGTTATAAATTTAGAATGTACAGGAAAGTATAAAAAGAAAGTGAAAATCTCCTGTGATCTCACCTTTTACAGGTAACTTCCATAACATTTTATTTGTCTGACTATGTGACCCGAGGCTTTTTACCTGAACTCACCCTCTACAACCTAGTTCTCAGCTCTACTTTATATACCACTTTTAAAGGATTCAAGATTAAAAAAAAAATCCTGTCTCAACCAAAATGCACTTGGGTCTGTTTTGATGCCCCCATTCCCCCTTGAACCTGAACTTCACACACACACGAAGGGGAACCGGCATTGTAGTTGACAACTAACCTCTCATTTTACAGATAGAAAAACTGAGGCCTAGAGCTTGTCCAAGATCATGTACAAAAAAAAAAGAGGCAATCAACATTCGAACCCAGGTCTCCTGAATTCTGTGCCAGTGCTTTTTCTCTTGACAAGTGATACCTCCTTACTAGGTCACAGAAGCAGTGGTAGAGAGAGAAAAGGAAAGCCACGTCAGTTCTAAAGAGTGCAGTTTTTTCCTTGTGTCCTTTAGCTGAGCTATTTTTGTGACTATTCAGTGCATGGACTGAATTTTGTGACTTGGAGCATTCTGGCTAGACTGAGGCCATTCACACTGACTGCAGCCATGCTGTCCCTCCATGGCAGGCTCCATGGAATCCTTGGCCTGGAAATCAGATGGGAACAGACTATTCCAATATAAAAATCAAATTTCAGGGTCTGAGCGTACACAGAAAAAAATTACTGTGTATCCTGTTGGACCATGTACATAACAATGAAAGAGTGATTTATGAGTATGTGACTGGCTGGCCCGGGGAGGAGGTAGTGTTGGGGTTGATTCATCTCTGAGTCTGTAATCCATTCATAAGCTCCCATAAATCTTATACACAAATGCAAATTACTCATTCTCCCTAAAGGTGACCCTGTAGTCTAGCTCTCACAACCTTAAGTTGTTTCTTTTGGCATGTAGAACAAAGCATAGACTCCTCTTTCTGGCATTTAAGGCCCTCTATAATCTGTCCAGCAGACATTGATATAATATGGAGATGTAATAATGTAGCACTTAAGAGCCAAACTTTGCAGCCGGGCTGCTCCACCATGAACTAGGACTTTTTCCTGGCAGGTTTCTGAACCTCCTCTGTTTCGGTTTCCTCATATGTGAAATGGAAATAGTTGTTAGGAGGATTAAATGAGTTAGTATTTGTAAAGGTGTAACAGTGACTATGTCATAATTCATCACATAGAAAGTGCATATTAGTTTATTAAATGAATATCTTTCCAGCTCCTCCCCTGATAACATTCCCCTTTGCACTGGATTTCTGGTCATTCTTGAGATGGTCCTTTCATTTTCCTGCCTCTGTGCAGCTATGACCCTCACCTATAAAATGTTGGCTCTCCCCTTGCTGCCTGTCCAAATCTTCCTCATCCTTTTAAGGCCGGGCTCGATGCGTCTCCATCCATTTATTCACATAATCCTTCATTCCTTCAACAAAGTTTGGGAGAGGGTCTGCTCTGTGCCAGGTCCAGTATCTAGGAGGCTTCCACAGTGTCCGGGCTAGGAGAGGTCTTCCACGTATGCCTCTCTTGTGACATCACCATCGTGTCACTTTACAGTTTCTGATGGGTTCGTTTGATCTCCCTTACTAGCATATTAGCTGTTTGAGAGTAGGGTGCTTATTAGTAGCTGCTTATTAAGCTCTACTTAAAATGAATAAATGAATGAATAAACAGTTACCCTTTGTGGTTATTTATTACTTGCTAATAGAGGGAAGAAAATAGGAACAAAACTGTGTGTGTGTGTGTGTGTGTGAGAGAGAGAGGAGAGACTTTGGATGACAAGAAGGATGAGGCTGGGTCTGAGAGCAAAGAGCCACTTCCAAGTAGAAGCGAGGCAAGAAGACAGGCGAGAGTGGAGGTGCGGAGGTAGAGAGGAACGGGAGGAGACGGTAGGTTATTCTCTGAACCGTAAAGCGTTCGCTCTAAGAAATGGTTTTCCTTAAGTGGTATAAAATGTGAAGTGAATTGGGTCTCACTTTTTCTTTCCCTCTTTAGGAGGTTGGAGCTGATTTTTAAAATGAGGTGGGGGAGGGAGGTGGGGTTTGGAGAAGGAAAGTAAAAATTGTTTTCTGAAGCTCTCTTTGCCAAATAACTCTCTGGAGAGAAAGTTTAGAGGGCGGGCCTGCCAGAGCGGACCAGCAGTCCGCTGGCCGACTCACTATTTCATTTGTCCTCATCCTGGTCACTCGCCCATCCCCATTCTCCACTTCCAAACACCTCTTTTTTTTCCTTCACTTTCTTCCTTCCTTCCTTCCTTCCTTCCTCCCTCCCTCCCTCCCTTCCTCCCTCCCTTCCTCCCTCCCTTCTTTCCTTCCTTCTTACAATTAAGAAGCTGGAGGAAAAAAAATCAAAACAGAAGGCAAAGTAAGCAGATGATTTCAACCTGCAATTATTTGCCAGGTTATAAAAATGCTGTGTTTTAGATTTAATCTACCTGATCACCTCATCTGTTTTCCACTGAAACCCTCCCCTCCTGCTTCCCCTCTTCATTTTGTCTCCTAACCTTTTACCCACCTTCTGACTCAAAGCATGAGAGGAGACTTGAACAACACAGCCAGATTTGAGAAGGGAGAAGGGCAGCTTTCAAGAGCTGACTCGAAGAGTTTAGCATGAGCAAATTCCTGACCTTTTTCTTCTGAAGGTTTTTCAGCTGTTTTTTTACATCTCTCGAGTGTACTGCTAAAGCACTGTGCTGTGGAAGGCACAAGGGTTCAATGATGGACATGCATTCACGGAGTGCTTGATGGACGCAGGCCTCCAGCTACTTCAGGGGATGACAAGATAGAAATAGAGGCCCTCTGACTGCAAAGTGCTCAGTGTTTGTGTGTGCACGCTGTGGGTGCCATGGGGAGACTGGTTTCTGGGGAGAGGGAGGGAGGAAGGGAGGGCTAGGGACTAGGTAGATAGGTGTGCCAACACCTGATGAGGACATGGAGGCAGGCTGCAAGGTGATCAGTGTTAGAGTTCCGAGCACCCACTGGGGAAGGCTTCACTGGGGGTGGAGGTGCGGCTTGGTGTTCTGGGCCTTGAAAGATAGCTAGGACTTTAATAAGCAAGGAGGGGAAGAGATGAGTCTTCAAGACAAGGGGACAGCGAGGCATGAGACTACGTAGAGGAGTGGGAAGTGGCAGGCCGAGTCTGGAAAGTACATGAGGCGAGGCATCTGTATCAAATCGTAAAAGTTTTAAATGTCCCCCTGTTGTGTTGGGGCTTTTTTTCTGTAAGCAGTAGGGAGCTGTTAGGGGTTTTGGAAAGAGCTGTGATAGGATTATTCTGGTGTCTCTGTGTGTGTGTGTGTCTGTGTTGTTTTGCTTTTACTTTTTAATTTTCCGAGTCTTTTTAGGAACTGTTAGGCAACCTTAACTCTGGGAAGTGTGCACTGCCTGTCTTTATATGTCATTTCTCCTCTCTTCCGGCCTGGCTCCGCTCCTTCTCAGGCTTCTGAGAAGGAAGTGTGGCAGTGCCAGCTCCTCGGAGCTGATATGAGGTCTCTGAGCAGACCCTGCGCCTGGTCTTCACTGCTCTCCAGCCCGTCCCCCCTCCTTTTCTCTTCCTCCTCCTCTTTCTCCATCACCACCCCCACCAGCAGCAGCAGCACTTCCCTCCCTAAAATAAATAAACCGGTCGCTCCAAAAGGTTCCAAGCACATTAGTCACATATCCCAGAAGTTTAATACAGAATTATTTTGACAGCGAGAACAAGAAGTGTTTTCTACTTGAACGCACAGAACTTGCTTATTCCAACTGGGCTTTCTGCCGCACAGACAGATGATATGTTTTTTAGATGGATCGGCCACGCAGGAGACTGCGTCGCTTCCCTTGGATACATGACAAACTGCTCACTACCAAAAGTGGTTGGGGAAAAGATGTGAAATGAGAGGGAGAGTGGGAGAGAGAGAGAGAAGAATGAAATCGTGTCCTTATTGCAAACAGAACTTTCTCCCTAATAACTTCAGTAAGCCACTGAGAGATTTCTATGTGTTTATTTATTTATTTGGCTGCCTCTGGAACTGTGAAGTTCTTTTTTAAACCCGGGCTTATGCGTGTTCTAAGAGATGAGGACAGATCGAGTTATTGCAATGCGGGTGGCTCTCCAAGCATTCCAGTTGAATAGCTCTTCCAGAAATATTTCTTGACTCACTTATTTAGCACTTTCTATTGCTGTTACTAAGCAGATTGAAGAGTCCTCCGTGTGCTTTCGCCAGACTACTCTTGGGTTGATGTGGATCCCCTTATCCCTATTTGGCATGTGGAAAGATGGAGCAATGAAAAGCTGAAGTGCGTTGTCACCCAAGAGGGATTTTTACCTGGGGTGTCAGAGCAGCATCTGAAGAGTCAGAGAAAGAATAAAAGCCTGTGCTCACCTCTTTCTGGCTTTGTCCTTCTCCTTCAGGGTCCCACCGCTAAGCAGGAAGACCTTATTCTGAGGCAGGTCACCTGGGTGTGAAGACCCAGAGATAAGCATGTTGGAGAGAAGCTAAAGGAGTTCCAGACCTGGGATGATCACTGCTTCTGGCTCCCATGATTTTGTTCCATTCTGGCTCCTATGATCTTCTGGCTACTGTGATCCTTTACTTCTTCCTTCTCAAATCCTTCGAGAGATTTCCAGCCATTTGGGGAGCTGGGCTGACCTTTCTAATTGCAGCGCCTGCTCGCTGGAACTTTCTTAACCTCCTCTACTTGTTTCTTATTAGCCCCTCATTCCCAGGCCTTCCTCCAAGAAACCTCTTTGTGGTCTAGACATTAAATGGCTTATGACCTTGGACAGTAGACTCTTTGGGCCTTGATGTTTTCAGATATTTTCCCTTCACAGAATTCTTTTTTAAATCTCTCATGAAATGTAATGTGGAATCCCAATATGTAAAATAACCAAAATGTAGTCATATGAGGTGCTGTCATTAGATGGTAGAAGATTGACTAGGCTTCCACCTAAGGCCAAGTTCTTTTTCCAGAACTCTCTGCCTCTGTGGAACCCATTTTGAAAACCGCTGTATTGGAGGTACTTCAAGCCCCTGTCAGGCAGCTCTGATGACCATGCTTCTGCTTTCTTTAAACTTTCTGCCTTTCTGTACATCTCTCAAGTGGCATCTGTACAGGTGAGGAAGATGAGCCCAGTGGGAGACATGACCCTTGCTGGTTTCCTCACAGTGGCTTTGCAGTTCCATGTGACAAAGACCTTTTAGTTTGTCCTCTTCAGGTGATTCTTCTCACGGGGGGCTTGTCAAGCCCCAAGCCTCCTCAGGCCACTACACCTGTGCCTGGACTTGCGCGCCTGGGCATCCCTTGGGCAGCACTTCCTTATTATTCATTACACTGTGCTGAGTGGTACTTGAGTATCAATTCTTGCCACTGTTGCTGGGGCTCTGGGCCTACAGCCTCTCTCTCAGGAACATTTGTTAGAGGTGTAACATGGCGCTCAAGCTATTTTTGAGGAAACTTTTTCTTTTAAAGTGCTGAGTTTACTTTTTATGAGGAAAGTAAAGCATGGACCATCTCCCATTCCTCCACCACTCTTTATGTAGCACCTACATTCACATGACACTCTACTATTCCCCAAAGAAGTCCTGACCTTTACGGTCATACTTTACAGTTTCACATGGCAAGGCAGTTTCTAAAGAGCTTTTCCCAGCTAAGATCTCACTTGAGCTTCACGACAACTCCAGGGCAAAGGAGACTCAACAAGACGATGCACTTGTAATTGCTGTAAGGCTCACAGGTCACAGGTTGAGAAGAAGTGTGGGGATTTGAACCTTAGGCTCCTGGCTCATACCACCGCCCCAAACCATTCGTTCTCCTTGTAGCAGGCATTATGAATGAATAAGCTATTAACAGGTACTATTTATTAAGTGCTCACTCGTAGGTCAAACATCGCTAGGTTGACACTTTGTAAAAAGCCCATTTAATCTTTTCAGCTACCTATAAGGTAGAAATGGTTATGTCCAGTTTGTAGGTGTATCACTAGAGATATTGAAGGGATAAATAACTTGCTTACGGTTCTTCTTCACAGAATTGGTGGACCTCAGATTCTAACCAGGACTGTTGGCCTCCAGAGGCCTTTTGAGTATAGGATGTGATCCTGCCCATCCTTCGTCCCCATCCTTCGTCCTCACTAGGGAGACAAAAAGTGCCCTCTTGAAAATAACAAAGTTAGGGGCCGGCCCGGTGGTGCAGCGGTTAAGTTCTCATGTTCTGCTTCTCGGCAGCTGGGGGTTCGCCGGTTTGGATCCCGGGTGCGGACATGGCACCGCTTGGCAAAAGCCATGCTGTGGTAGGCGTCCCACATATAAAGTAGAGGAAGATGGGCATGGATGTTAGCTCAGGGCCAGTCTTCCTCAGCGAAAAGAGGAGGATTGGCAGTAGTTAGCTTCAGGGCTAATCTTCCTCAAAAAAAAAAAAAAAGAAAATAACAAAGTTAGTTTGTGGATGACCACATGGGATAGTGATTGCTATATACTGTTAAGGGTTAACAGGGGGCAGTTTTCTCTCCTTGCTCTTGGAGGTCATAATATCATTATACACTCCCCTCTGCTTTCTTTTTAGATTTTATGTGCTCCACATTGACATTATGAGTCCTCCATTCTCCTGGTTTCCCCCTCTATCAAAATACCTATCCTTTCCTGCTCTGATCATTCTATCCTTCTAAATTTCACACACCTAGGGAACGTGTTTGTTGAATTCTCTTTGTATAATTCCCTTCCACAACATTGTTTGGAATGATGGATACTTAATTCTTGTTTTAAATGGGAATGACAATTAGAGATTATCCCTGTTTTCAAAGAGATTTTCTGCTTCTGAAATGTACTTTGTAAAAGTTTGAAAGTCAGACACCACATGAAGAGATACCCAAGTCATATCAAGAAAGATGAATGCCTAATGAATGTTCTGATTGGCTAGCTGGCCATGTCTTGCTTTTTCAATGTCAATTTTAACTTTCTAACTCTCGTGTTAGATAGCTCTCCTCCCCTCCCCCCAACCCACGCGTGAGCATGCGTCCGCACACAACACACACACACAAACATGCAATTCTTGAGAAGGAAACCCTCCTACATTTGGTAAACTTGCCGCTTTCTCCTCAGAATCTGGTTAGCGTACCTTTGGGTGAGCAAAGGAAAAATCTTTTTCTCCGTGCCAAGTTCAGGGTGTGAATCAATTCTCCCTGCCGTTCGCATTTTAGTAAATGTTTCCTAGATG